CGCCACCGTACCCGACGAACCTGCGGAACAAGTGGGCAAAGAGACCGCAGAAAGAATCTTAGCGCGGGAGAAGGAGCTCTACGCACGCACCAGAGGCTATCGCGCCGACCCCGACATCTGGTATCAACGATTCGGGCACCCATCAATTGAAGTGCTCAACAAACTGCATCAACGCAAAAGTCTTTGCGGCAGACGCACTGTTGCTGCCGGATGGAAAGCTACTGAAACCAAGGACCGACTTACCCAACTGCACCGTCTGCCCGACAACCGCGCTGCGTCACACACCCTTCGCCGAGAAGATCCCTGGAGCCGAGCGTTACAAACCGCTCGAAAAGGTTTACAGCGACTTCCTGGTCCTTACGGCAAAAGGAGTTGGAGGTGAACAGTACACGCTCACCTTCATCGATGCTAAGACGCGCTTCGTCTGGGCCGTGAACGCCAGCAACCGCTACCTAGCCTACCACTGCTTCTATCTATGGCTCAACATGGCGGAAACTCAGAGCGAGGGGAGGAAGCTGAAAGTCTTCCAGACCGACGGAGCACTGGAGTATCAGACAGAGGAGTTCAAAACCCTCTGTGGAGAAAGGGGAATCCAGATGATGATCTCCCTCCCCTGCGCTCACGAGCAACGGGGATTGGCGGAGCGAACCAACAGGAGCCTCGCAACAAAAATGCGAGTCCTCATGAAGCAGTCAGCTGTGCCAACCAAATATTGGCCCTTCGCGATGGCGCATGCAGTTCGCCTGCACAACATGCTCTCTTCGAAAGCGCTGCCCAACAACACCTCACCTTTCAAGGAATGGACCGGCAAAAACCCAGACACACGCATGCTGCGGGTCTTCGGGTGCATGGTACAGTACCGCCCCCACACTGCCCTGACCGAAAATTTGAGGATCGCGCTCGGTGGGGCATTCACCTCGGAATCGAATACGAATACCACGCCTGGAAAATTCTGGACTTCGCCACTCACCAACTCCCGCGTTCACGTGACTGCATCTTCTACGAAAGACCAACCCTGCCACTGTACCGACAGCACCGCACTGCACAAAATGCACCGGACAACATCTTCCAGGGAAAGCACAGCTACGCCAGTGACGAGGATGATGTCGACGTGGCAGGAGAACAGCTAGACGAGTCAACTGGGGGCGAGGCACCCTTCGTACCCGTTACGGAAGAGTTCGGCACAGCAACGTTTTTCCCAACAGAAACTGATCCACACGAAGCAGTACAGGCACAGCACGATTACGAAAGTGCAGAAATGCACTCACCCATGGAGGAAGACCCCACTCGCGATTCCTCTCGCGACACCGTTCGCGACATCCCTGGCGATGACGACGACGTGGTCGAAGTTACAAATGCAGCTGAATCCAACCTCACAGGACTTCGCATCCTCGGACTCGCCGCCGCCGTACGGGGTAACCAGCAGCTGGTCGAGCCCACCACCGTTCGCCAGGCTCTCAGCGGGCCCAATGCTGAGAAGTGGAGAGCAGCCATGGCCGCAGAAATCGCTGCACTACAGCGGCGTGGCACCCGGAAGCTGGTACCACGACGACACGCAAAGGGGAGAAAGATTCTCACAGGGAAGTGGGTTTTCAGAATCAAAACGCTCGCGGATGGGACTATCGACAAATACAAAGCACGGTGGGTCGTCCGCGGATTCGAACAAACCCAGTTCGTGGACTACGACAAGACATTTGCCCTTGTCATACGACATACCTCCGTGCGAATCCTCCTCTGCGTCGCAGCCGTGAAGCAGCGCCCCCTCCGCAAAATCGACGTGTCCAACGTATTCTTTTACGCGATCGTCGACGCAATCATCTACGTCGAACAACCGCACGCATTCGAAGAGGACGGTGACGCCATCTGCCTTCTCCAGAAGTCTCGCTACGGGATCAAGCAGGCACCACGCATGTGGCAGCAGTACCTCCAGACCGTTCTGATCGAGCTCGGCTTCCAGCAGCTACCCCACGATCAAGGGATGTACCGCCTTGATTCCCGCGGCAGCTTCATCTTGCTCGTCGCCTACGTCGACGACCTACTCTACACCGGGGACAACGCGGAGCTGCTCGATCGCTTCGAACACGACATCAAAGAAAAGCTCGAGGTGACCATCAATCACGACGTCACTCAATTCCTCGGCCTCAACGTCACTCAAACCGCCGACACAATCCACCTCTCTGCCGCGAAATACGCCGAGACTCTCGCTAAGAAGTTCGGCATTGCACCCGTCGGCATCACTACCCCGTTCCGCACTTCTCCTCCTAACCACGAGCCCTACACCACCCCCCTCTCCGCTGCTGGCCATCGCCTCTATCAGCAGCAGCTAGGGTGTCTACTCTTTGCCGCCGTCACATGTCGCCCGGACCTATCCTACATCGCCAGCCAACTTGCCCAGTACCTGCGCCGACCTGAAGGGGAGAATATGGCGGACCTACGACGCGCCTTACAATACTTCATTTCTACGCCTGACGTCGGCCTCACCTACCAAGCGAACTTAACAGCTACTCTACAGCTCACCGGCTACGTTGACGCTGATCACGCTGGGGACGCAGATAACAGAAGGTCCTGCACAAGCTTCATCTTCAAACTTGAGCCTGCAGGAACCATCTCCTGGAACTCACAGAAGCAAGAACTCATCGCCCTTTCGTCAACAGAAACAGAATTCATCGCAGCATGTGCAGCAGTTCGCGAAGGACTCTACCTCACGGAGCTCCTACAGGAAATGAAGACGGCGATGAACGGGTCATTCAAGTTACTCTGCGACAACCAGAGCGTGATCAAGATCGCGAACAAACCCGGCTTCGTCAACCACACGAAACACATCGCCATGCGTTACTTCTTCGTCAAGGACGAAATTGACAAAGAGAAGGTCCAGCTCACCTATTGCCCAACTGGCGAAATGGCAGCAGGTTTTCTGACAAAGAAACTGCCACGTCAGAAGTTCCAGTACTGCTCGGACCTGTGCGGAGTCGTCCGAAAGAGCCACGTGGCGCACCTCCAGGAATGAAGGGGAGTGTTGGAGTATGAAGGGAATTGAGTTTGGCATTCCCGTAGGTGCAGCTGTATCGCACCCGTCACTGTCAAAGCAGCACCCGCAGCAATATCGGATCATTCTGTAACAAGGGCAGGAAGGTCAACAGTCGCAAAGGTCAATTGTCGCGACTGTTGACCATCTGGACCGATTCATTCACCAGCGAGGAATGGCAACAGGCGTAACCATCTGTACGGTTACATGCAGCGACTCGGTAACAAGAAGAAGAGTAATAGTCAGAGTCACTGTAGAACTGCCTGTAAAACAGATAGAATAAGGGAATGTACCCCTTAGAGTACATGGCTAGCTAGATCTATTTATTGTGTGTGTTTTATCCTTTAATCAATCTTGTCATTTACATCCACTATGCACAAGGTTCCTACCAAAAGTCTTCCGCTACCAAAACCCCCTAAAGCAATCCTATCCTATCCAAGATCATTACTCTAGCAACTACAAGGAACGGCGAGTTAGTGAAAAGCTTCAGCACCTTCTATAGTGTTCTCACCACACCTACTGAGAGCGTCACGAAAACTGGAGATAATAGGACTTCCTTTGTTCAACCATGAAAGAAAGCAAAACAAGAAGACGTTGGTATGACCAGGAGAAATTATGGTGCTTGTGCTGATGCTACGTGGATTAGTGCTGTGTTTTTTAGAGCAGAAATGAATGTGTGGTGATGGAGATGGAAATGCTGTTGAATCACATTAAAGCGTTTGAGTTGAGGGCGCGTGACTTGTAGTTTGGGTTTGTTCGGTGAAGTCGAACTTCAAGTGGTAACAAATTTCATTAACGTCGCGATGGTCACGGCGAATGACGAACGTACACGCAGCACGACACCCTCTTGATAGGCAACGCCGGTAGTTCGACTTCCGACAGTCGAACTTGCCGGGCAATTTTCGCGTGTGTTTACGCCAGCGGTGGCGGATTCGGGTCCTGGCTCGAACCACTCGATAGAATCCAGCTCGAACCAAGTTCGAATGAACAGTTCGAGCCATGGATTGAATTTTGGCAAATACACTTAAAAGTCACGCGCCCTGAGCGATGGAACGCAAGGTACCGACAGGGTCGTCAGATCTGGAAGCAGTTTCACCATCGGACGGCGAGCAGAAGCCCTTAAGTTCGTATGCATTGGATCGGACAGTGGGAAATGATATAGAACGGTTGTTCATGGAGAACGACGTTAGCAAGGCTTTGTATTCCAGCTCCGTGCATTCCACGGTACCCTGACCTTACTGTAACCATTAGGACCGAACACAACACATTATATCCAAGAACAAACCGAAATGACAGTATTAAATTGGACTTCCCCTCGATTCAATCGCTGACCCATGCACATCCACTCCAATTTCGGGACGCGGTACGGGTTTCCCGCGTCTATTCGATCTTTGTTCGCTTCAGTTTGACACTCAAATCTCGAAGGATGCACCGTTCGTAAAAGTCAAATTAAGGTTCCAGAAATCTGTACAGTACAGAGAGGCTTGTAGCGGAAACCGCATTCACCCTGGGCAACCATGAACCTCGGTCGGGATCCAACCCATTCCGGCGTGGCTATTCTTACCACGTAAGCATCATCCAGGAAAGCCAGGGCCGCCACGTAGTCTAACCCATGGTAGCGATACCCAAAATGGTGACTCAGCTCCAAGATTTCGTCAGAAATTCTCAAGACAATTGGGCGAAGTCCTTCCACCCATCGATTTTGCCGTTCACACGAGCTTCAGAGTGTTCGTTTACAGTTCGCTTTATTTCGCCGTGAATGTTCGTCGACCTCTGGATTTGGGACAACCGTCCCTCTCCCTGCTTCATCCCCCCTTCTACCAGGTGCTCTCCTCCTGACCCTCCCCTCTCCCTAGGGTTTCCAACAAGCTTAGTTTACTACCTCCTTATTGTAGAAATTCCGCGATACGGGATACCTGGTAGCTGTGTTCTTGGGCCAGCCATGGCGTCGCTCCTAGCGGCTCCGCAAGCGCAAATGAGCAGCATATCGTTCGCTGCGTCGACGTCTCAGAATGTGAGCCTCTAGATGCTTCTGTAGCATCTATCACGAGACATCACTCTGTTGTTCGTTTCCCACTTGTTTGTCTTCCAAAATTCTTTCCAGAGATGTTGTTATCGCTTTTCGTTTATACATTCAACCAAAAGCTCCTCCACGGATTCCTCTCGCTGGTCCCTGTCGCCTGGTCAGTCATTATCGCCTTTACTGCATTCCGTCTCCTCCAGGCCCTCTCGTCGTCCGCCTCCGTCTCTTTCCGGGGCACAACTATCGCCGCTCCCCGCCGAATCTCCGCCGCGGCGACTGCCTCCGCCGCCGTTGCGGTGCCCGCGCAGGCTTCCGCCGTTTCCGCCGCCGACTGCGCCGACGGCGCCGCTCAAGGTGAGGTGAGCGGCTGTGCTAGCATTTGATCCATTGGATTTTCCTGCATTGTTAACTGTTGGACGAGAGCCGCTCAAGATTAGGCGAGCGGCTGTGCTAGCATCTGATCCATTGAATTCTTTTGCCTTGTCGGCTGTTCTAGCATCTGATCCGTTGAATTCGTGCAACCCTTCTTCTCCCTCTTCCACCCCTCTTCCGGCCATTTTCTTCCCCTTCCCCCTCCCACCCCACCCCCAACCTCCTCCCAACATCCTTTCCCTCCGAATTCCCGCAGGGGACGCCAGGGGAGGTGCAAGAGGGAGTGCAGCGGGCACTGGCGGCAGTGAAGCACGCGCCAGCAGGCACGCCGCTGTCGGTGCTGCAGCGGCAGCTGGCGTCCGTGCTCACACCGTTCGCGGATAGATTGGACTCGCGCGCTCTGAGCAGCATCATGAAGCAAGTGAGTGAATGAGAGAGAGGGATGAGATGTGTATGGTCACTTGGTAGGCTGGAGTGGGATTGGATTTGGGAGGAATTTGCCAGCAGGCACGCCACTGTCGCTGCTGCGGCGTCAGCTGGCGTCCGTGCTCACGCCGTTTGCCGATAGGCTGGAATCGCGCGCGTTGAGCAGCATCATGAAGCAAGTGAGTGAGTGGGTGAGCGAGTGAGCGAGTGAGTAGCATGTGAGGTGAGGCTCACTTGGTAGGCTGGACTGGGATTGCCGTAGGGAGGGATATGCCAGCAGGCACGCCGCTGTCGCTGCTGCAGCAGCATTTGGCGTCACTACTCACGTCGTTCGCCGATGTGGAATGGACTCGCACCCTCTCAGCAAATCACGAATCAAGCAAGCAAGTGAGTGTGTGAGTGTGTGAGTGGGTGAGTGTGTCGTAAGGGTCAGTTGCTAAGCTCGACTCGGATTGTATCCATTCGCTGAGATCGTCTCCTCACAGTCGCACTGCTGCAGCGGCAGCTGGCTGGCCTCCTCCGTGAAAGGGTAGACGATTATGTGTTCACTTCCATTCAAACCGGAGGATTCACACAGTGCACGATTTGGTTCATTCCTCCTCCGTGCACTTGAACAAGCTCGTTTGAGAATTAATGGCCCAAACCGTGCTGCCTCCCCACCCCACCTCACCCTTCCATGCAATGGTGGGCACGATCTGGATTTCAGTAAGAATTGTGCACCCCTTGTTGCCCTCCCTTCCTCCTCTCCCCCTCCCCTCCCCTCCCCTCCCCTCCCCTCCCCTCCCCTCCCCTCCCCTCCCCTTCCGTTCCATTTCCCCATGGATCTCCAATCTGCCAGCAAGAGGCGGACTGGCGTGTCGTGCTGGCGCTCTACGATTGGATGGCGGGGCAGGGCATTCCGCGCAGCATCCACGTGTACACGGTGGTGCTCTCGTGCCTGGGGCGCGCAGCACAGTGGAACCACCTGCAATCCGTTTTGGACGATATGGCAAGACTAGGTGAGTGAGGTAACTGTATGTATAGCCTGTAAGCAGCAGAGAGGTAGGCGAGGAGTGGAGAGGGAAAGCAATAGGTTGTAGCATCCACGTGTACACGGTGGTGCTCTCGTGCCTGGGGCGCGCAGCACAGTGGAACCACCTGCAATCCGTTTTGGACGATATGGCAAGACTAGGTGAGTGAGGTAACTGTATGTATAGCCTGTAAGCAGCAGAGAGCCCAGCCCATCCACGTGTACACGGTGGTGCTCTCGTGCCTGGGGCGGGCAGCGCAGTGGAACCACCTGCAATCCGTTTTGGACGATATGGCAAGACTAGGTGAGTGGGGAGAAGCGGAGAGGGACGATTCTGTCCAGCATTCACATCGGCATTTTGGGTGGTGGTGCGCTTAGGATGACTATTGAGTCAACTCACTGACAATGCATGCAGCATGCATCCATGTGTACACGGTGGTGCTCTCATCTCATGCCTGGGCCGGATGTCCAAGCAGACTTTGTTGCCTGCGCCCTCCTCCCTTGCTGCCCTCTCTCTCTCTCTCTCCCCCAATAGGAGTACCCATGGGCGAGTACGTACGTGTTCAACACGCTCACAGTCACCTCACCTGCTCCAATGCTGGCTGGCTCACAATGCGTGCTTGTCCCAAACAGACCATGTTGCCTTCATCCTCTCTTGCCCTCTCCATTTCCCCCCACCCACAGGAGTACCCATGGACGAGTACGTACGTGTTCAACACACCTGCTCATAGTCACCTCACCTGCTCCAATGCTGATTGGAATCTCTTGCCCTGTCATCAATGTTTTGTGTCCCCTGTGCTTCATTACCCGCCTCTCATGCCACTCCGTCTCTCCCCACAGGCGTCCCCATGGACGAGTACGTGTACAACACGCTCATAGTCGCCTACTCCAATGCTGATCATCACCTTTCCCCACCATTCTCCCCTCTCTTTCCCTGCTTCCTCTCTCTCCTCTTCGGCCCTCCGTCCCACCCACAGGCGTCCCCACGGACGAGTACGTGTACAACACGCTCATAGTCGCCTACTCCAATGCTGATCATCACCGGTTCCCACCATTCTCCCCTCTCTTTCCCTGCTTCCTCTCTCTCCTCTCCGGCCGTCCCTCCCACCCACAGGAGTCCCAATGGACGAGTACGTGTACAACACGCTCATAGTCGCCTACTCCAATGCGGGTCGGTTCAACGACGCGTTGGGGTGGTTTGAGCGCATGGAGAAGGCAGGGTGCATGCCCAACCAGGTGAGAAGGGGAGATGAGGAACGTGTTTCAAGAGAACGGTCGTTTGTACCTCTTTCCTGTCCTCATCCTCAACGTTCCCTCTCCTCCGTGGTTCGAGCGCATGGAGGAGGCGGGGTGCACGCCCAACCAGGCGAGGGGAGGGGGGAATGAGAAGGTGGCCTGTTGTATCGTAGTACTGTCTTTACTGTCGCCCCCTCTCCCCCGTGGTTCGAGCGCATGGAGAAGGCGGGGTGGGGTGCACGCCCAACCAGGCGAGGGGAGGGGGAAATGAGAAGGTGGCCTGTTGTATCGTAGCACTGTCTATACTTGCGTTCCCTCTTCGCCGTGGTTTGTTCGAGCGCATGGAGAAGGCAGCGGGCGGGCATGCCCAACCAGGGCGCTCGAACAGGTGAGGACGTGTTCCAACCACGGCGCTCGAACAGGTGAGGACGTGTTCCAACCACGGCGCTCGAACAGGTGAGGACGTGTTCCAACCACGGCGCTCGAACAGGTGAGGACGTGTTCCAACCACGGGCATGCCCAACCACGTGAGGAAGAGAGAAGAGGAGAACGTATTCTGTATATTTTCCTCATGCCCCTCAGGTCCTCTTTCCCACCTCATTTCCCACCTCATTTCCCACCTCATTTCCCACCTCACTTCCCACCTCATTTCCCACCTCCTTCCCACCTCATTTCCCACCTCATTTCCCACCTTATTTCCCACCTCATTTCCCACCTCATTTCCCACCTCATTTCCCACCTCATTTCCCACCTCTTTCCCACCTCCTTCCCACCTCCTTTCCCACCTCACTTCCCCCACCCCCTTCCCCCATCCCCTTTCCCCATCCCCGTTCCTTCCCTATCCCCTCATCCCCTTTCCCCATCCCCTTCCCCCATCCCCTTTCCCCATCCCTTTTCCTCATCCGCTTCCCCCATCCCCTTTCCCCATCCCTTTTCCTCATCCGCTTCCCCCATCCCCTTTCTGTTCCTTCTCTCTCTCTCCCCTTATTCATTTAACAGGTAATCTGCACGACAGTGATGAAGCTCTTTGCATGGGCTTGCAGGACGGATGGCATGCCATGCCACACATTGCTCAGACTAGCAGTCCCCCTTGTTTTCTCCCCACTCTCCCTCCCCTTATTCATCCATCAGGTCGTCTACACGACAGTGATGTCGCTCTATGTCCACGCAGACTCAGCGACTCCTCAAGCGTTTCGAATCCCTTCTTTGTCCCATCCGCTTCCCACATCCCCTTCCCCCATCAGGTCATTTACACGACAGTGATGAAGCTGTTTGCACGGGCGGGCAGGACTGATGGTGTGGCACGCATTGCCGCCCTGCTCAGGGAGGAGGGCAGCAGGGAGGGCGGCCTTTTTCGGCTGGATTCTAAGACGATATGCGCGCTGATCGCGGCGTACAACAGCATGGGGGACTTGAAGTCGGCTCAGGAGGTATGTTCTGTTCTGAAGCCAGCATGCCTGAAAGGGTTTGGCTGGACTTCAGGATAACATGCACGCCGATCTCTGATGGCTGATGGATGGCTCATCGTTGTGTACAACAGCATGGGAGGCTTGACTTGATGTCTGCGCAGGAGGTATGTTGGCAAGTCGGCTTGTTGATTTTATTTTATTTTTATTTTCAGGTTTTTTAGACGACCCTCGGTTCCCCTTCCATTCCCTCCCCATCCACTTTCCTTTCTATCTTCCCTCCCCCTTCCTCTCTCCCACACTTTATCCCCTTTTACCTCCTCCCCACCTTTTGGCCTCTCCCTATCCCCTCCTTTTACGTCACCCTTCTCCCTTCTCCCTCGCCCGCCAACCCCTACTGTCCAGGTGTTGGAGCTCGCACGAGCAGGCACGCCCCCATACCCCTTGGTGGGGCAGCGAATGGACTGCAGCAGCAGCCGCTCTCCACCGCACAGAACCCATCCCTAGTCTCCCTCTCTCCTGCATGCCCATCCCCCCTGCATACCCGTCCCTCCCTAGGTGTTTGAGGCAGCACGAGCAGGCACGCCCCCAGGGGAACGCCATGGTGGCCGCATATGGGCTGCAGCAGCAGCAGCCGCCCCTCTCCACCGCACAAAACCCATCCCTTGTCTTCCTCTCTGCGGCATGCCCATCACCCCTGTATATCCCTACCTCCCCATGTGTTTGAGGCGGCGCGGGCAGGCACGCCCCCACACCAGGCGAGTGGGACGTGGTGGTTTGGAATGCCATGGTAGGGAAGTGGTGGGGCTGTAGTGGCAGCTGCTCTCCACCGCACAGAACCCGTTTAAATCCATCCCCTGCTGCGTACATGTCCCTCCTGCTTGCCCTTCCTTCCCTCCACCATCCACAGGTGTTTGAATCAGCACGAGCAGGCACGCCCCCAGGCGAGTGGGACGTGGTGGTGTGGAACGCCATGGTGGCCGCGTATGGGCTGCAGCAGCTGCTCTCCACCGCACAGAACCCAATTATATCTCTCTCCTGCTGCGTACTCTCCCCTCCTGCATGTCCCTCGTCTACAGGTGTTTGAATCAGCACGAGCAGGCACGCCCCCAGGCGAGTGGGATGTGGTTTGGAACGCCATGGTGGCAGCATATGGGCTGCTGCTGCAGCCACCCCTCTCAACCGCACAGAACCCATTCGTATTTCTATCTTGCCCGTCCCTCCTGCGTGTCCCTCCCTCCGTCCTTCCCTAGGTGTTTGAATCAGCACGAGCAGGCACGCCCCCAGGCGAGTGGGACGTGGTGGTGTGGAACGCCATGGTGGCCGCGTATGGTCGGGCGGGCAAGGTGAGGCAGGCGGAGGAGCTATTGCTGCAGATGGAGGCACAGGCGGATGGGGGAGACAGGGCGGATGGGAGGGATGGGGGGGTGGATGCGGAGGGGGATGGGGCTGATAGCGCGGATTGGGGCAGTATAGAACCCGATTGGGGGAGTGTTGAGGTAGATGGGGGGAGCCTTGAAGCGGACGGGGTGGGTCAGGGCGTGGGACAACCAGGCAGAGCCGATTCAGTGGGTAGGGTGCAAGTGCAAGGGGGTTCTGGGTCGATTATCCCGTCGACTCAAGATGTGGCCAGAGTGCAAGGGGGCGTTGAGGGCTCTGAAAAGCATCTGGGCAGTGTTGTTAACGGGGTAGATCGGGCAGCAGGGGAGTTGGTAGAACCAGAAATACTTGGTCAGGTTAGCAGCTCTGTTCCAGCAGTAGCATCAGCAGCAGTATCAGCAGCATCAGCAGCTGAGGATGATGCGAATGATGTGGGTCGTGATGTTGCTGTATCAGCAGCTGTGGCGGCAAAAGAACTTGTAGCAGCAGCAGACACATCGATAGCAGAAACATCTGTAGCAGCAGAGACATCAGAAGCAGAAGCAGCTGCAGCAGAGACACATACACCAGACGCGAGTGCACAAGGAACGTTCAGAGTTTTCAATTCCCAATCCAACGCAGGGCCTCTGGAACCCCAGCCTCGCCCATCCCCACTCCTCCAGCCTGCCCTTGCCTACTCCGAACCAGCTTTGGTGACTTCCGAGCCTCTGCCAGAGGTTCGGAGCGAGGCTTCTGGTGAGCTTTGGAGCGAGGCTCGAGAGGGGCTTATGGCAGCAACTGCAACTGTGGCTGTAGTATCCCCGGTTACAAGGCTGGAAAAGCAAGGTAGTAACGGTGACAGCGAATATTCTGGTGGTAACAACGACAGTAACGGTGTGGGGGATGGAGGTTTTGTGGCAGCAGGTGTAGATGGTGGTGGAACAGGGAATTCTGGGGGTAGACCGTCGGTTCCTCCTCCTACCTCTCCTCCTCCTCCTCTTGTTGCAACGGTTTTGAGAAAGCCCACCCCGCTACCTTCTCCTGCTAGCAGCAGAATCAGCAGCCCTAGCAGCATCAAGAATGACAGTCGTAGCAGTAGCAGTAGCAGCACGGGCGATGACCGAATGAGCAGCAGCAGTAGCGGCAGCTCAGGTGAACCTTCAGGTGAATTTTCAGGAGTAGGAGGAGGCGAAGAGATTAGCAGGGACGAGGAGGAGGAAGGGGAGGAGATTGATAGGGAGGTGGAAAGGAGGGAAAATCTAAGGCGGGCGGGAGGGGGAAGGAGAGGGGGAAAGTCCGCTAGAGGATACTCTAGCAGCACTGGAAGCACCAGCAGGACCAGCTGGGGGAGTGAGAGAGAGGAGGCGAGACGAGGGAGAGGCGACAGTGGTGCGAGGAGAGGAAGGGAAACAATCGGAGCGGGAGGAGGAGGAAGGGGGGGATTGGAAGATGGCAGTCGGGAGCTGTCTCCCCCTCGGTTTGGGCCGACACTGAATGCGTATAACTCGCTGCTGAACGCGTATGCCAAGGCGGGAGACGTGGACAAGGCAGAGAAGACTTTCAAGGTAGGCTTGAGATTGGGTTCGGGCTAGGCTGGGCGAGGCAAGGGCAATTGCCGCTCTCCCCCTCCGTTTGGGCGAACGCTGAATGAATGCGTAGAGTGCAACGCGCTGCTGGATGTGGACAAGGCAGAGAAGACCTTGAGCCGTCTCCCCCGCGGGAAAAGGTAGGCGGGAAAAGGTACTGAGTCAAGGGATTGTCGCTCTGGTAAAGGCCGTGAGCTGCCTCCCCCGCGGTTTGGGGCGAACGCTGAATGAATGCGTAGAGTGCAACGCGCTGCTGGATGTGGACAAGGCAGAGAAGACCTTGAAGGCAGGCTTGAGGCAAGGTTTGGGGTAAGGTAGGGTGGAGAGGGGAGGTAGATATAGAAAAGGGCGACACTGAACTGAATGTGCGCAAACAACTGCTGCACTCCCGCTGGCTGTGCGTGCTTCTCTCCCCCTCTCCCCGACCTCTCAACCCCTCCCTCCGCACATTTCAACGGCGTCTCATGGCTCGGGGCTTCTACCCGTCAACCATCACCTTATGTTTTTTGAGAATTCTCAAAATACATACGCTCCCCGTCTCCCCGACCTCTCAACCCCTCCCTCCGCACATTTCAACGGCGTCTCATGGCTCGGGACTTCTACCCGTCAACCATCACCTTTCCACACATAGAAAGTGAATTTTGGGTTTAGGGTCAGGACGTCTCAAAAATCCATTTTCTACACGTGGCTCGGGGCTTCTACCCGTCAACCATCACCTTTCCACCCCCCATTCTCTCTTGCTGCCGTGCTCACCCCTTCCCTCCACCCGTCCCCCATTCCATCCTTTCTCCCCTCCTCCCCCCCCCCTTCCCCCCCCAGCGTCTCATGGCCCGGGGATTCTACCCGCTAACCGTGACTTTCAACACGCTCTTCTCGCTCTACGCCTCTCTCTTTGCTACCTGCCCCCCCTCATTCCCTCTGCTCTCGTCTCCCTCAACAGCGTCTCATGGCCCGCGGATATTACCCCTCAACCGTGACCTTCAACACGCTCTTCTCAGTCTATGCCTCGCTGCCCTCCCTCCCTCCTCCCTGATCGACACCTCCCCACTCCCTCCTTCCCTACCCATTTGAGGCGCCTCAAAGCAGTCTATGCCTCGCTGCCCTCCCTCCTCCCGGATCGACACCTCCTCACTCCCTCCTTCCGTTTGAGGTTGATTTTGAGAATTCTCAAAATCCAACCTCAAACAAAACGCTCTTCTCAGTCTATGCCTCGCTTCCCTCCCTCCTCCCTGATCGACACCTCCTCACTCCCTCCTTCCCTACCCATTCCCGCCTCCCCTGCCCCCCCACCTACAGCGTCTCATGGCCCGCGGATTCTACCCCTCAACCGTGACATTCAACACTCTCTTCTCGCTCTGCCTCTGGACGTGCCTCTATGCCTCTATTCCAGAGAGGCCCCTCTGGGCTACCGCTCGCGCCACTCTCTGATTGGCCTTGTCAGCCAACTGTCACTGTCAACACCCCCTTATCCTGCTCATCTTCCCCCACCCCCTCTGTGCCTGCTTCCCCCACCCCTTCTGTGCCTGCTTCCCCCACCACCCTCCCTTACAGCGTCTTATGGCCCGGGGATTCTACCCGTCAACAGTCACATTCAACACGCTCTTTTCGCTCTACGCCTCGCTGCCCTCCTCCTCCTCCTCGCTCGCTGCTGCCCGCCGCCTGCACGCCCTCATGCTGCACATGGACGTCCCTCTGGACGTCTACTCCTGCTGCTCTCTCATTGGCCTGCTCAGCCGCTCCGGGCAGGTTGAAGAAGCCGTCGGGCTGTTTGAAAGAATGAAAGCGCAGGGCGTGCAGGTGTGTGTGTGTGGGTGGGTGGGTGGGTGGGGGGGGCGCCTGGGTGGGTAGATTTGCCGGTGTGTGTGGTGTGCGCGTGCGTGCTGTTTTGATTCTTTCGGCGCCTCATAAGCTGTTTCAAGTGGCATTTTTTTCACGTGATGATCGCTGCATTTGCTCGCTCGCCTTGGCAAGCGACCAAAGCCCTCTTCCCAGTCTCCTCTTCCCCTCCACGCACCCCCTCCCCACCCCCCCTTTCCCTCCAACCAGCCGGACTCGCACGTCTTCAGTGCAATGATCGCTATGTTCGCTCGCCATGGAAGGTTGTAGCTTGAAGGTGCAACCAACCAAACCCTCCCCTGATCTCTCCCTTCCCCCAACCCAACCCCTCTCCCCCCCCCCCCCCCCTCCCTCACCTCACCAGCCGGACTCGCATGTCTTCATCAGTGCAATGATCGCCATGTTCGCCCGGCACGGCAATTTGGAGTTGGCGCTGAGAACCAATGCTCAACTCTTTCCCCTTCCTTCTTTCCCCGCCAACCAACCACATCCTCCCCTTCCCCCAACCACCCCCCCCCACCAGCCGGACTCGCATGTCTTCAGTGCAATGATCGCCATGTTCGCCCGCCATGGCAAGCTGAAGTCGCCACGTTTCCCCGCCAACCACATCCTCCCCTTCCCCCCCACCCCCCCCCTACCCTCCCCCCCCCACACCAGCCGGACTCGCACGTCTTCAGTGCGATGATCGCCATGTTCGCTCGGCACGGCAAGCTGAAGTCGCCACGTTTCCCCGCCAACCACATCCTCCCCTTCACCCCCACCCCCCCTACCCCCCCACCCACCAGCCGGACTCGCACGTGTTCAGTGCGATGATCGCCATGTTTGCCCGCCATGGCAAGTTGGAGTTGGCGCTGAGAACCTTCCAGGAGATGAAGGCGGCGGGGTGTGCAGTGGACATGCCAGTGCTGACGTCCATGATCGGCGTTTACCACCGCCTGGGGCTGCTGGAAGAGGCGTCAGCAGCAGCAATGGATGCCATTGTGAGTGGTTGTTAGTGGTGTACCCATCCCCTGTACCTTGAGAGGGTGCCCCCTGTGCCTAGGGGTGTGCAGTGGACATGCCAGTGCTGACGTCCATGATCGGCGTTTACCACCGCCTGGGGTTGCTGGAAGAGGCGTCTGCAGCAGCAATGGATGCTATAGTGAGTGTTTTCGCTTGGAAATAAAGGCTTCTCTGGGAAGATGAAATGAGGTGTGCAGTGCACATGCCAGTGCTGACGTCCATGATCGGCGTGTACCACCGCCTGGGGTTGCTGGAAGAAGCATCGGCTGCAGCAATGGATGCTATTGTGAGTGCTGGGCTGGGCTGGTTGGGAGTGAAGGCTGGTGTACCGCTCAGACCCAGGGCAGCGGCCATTTAGACGCTGTGCTGATGAAGGCCTTTGGTGGCCGAAACGCGTTCACACGCGACATCCAGTGAATTTCAACGAATTCCAACAGTGAAGGCTGGTGTACCGCTCAGATCAGACCCAGGGCAGCGGCCATTTGGACGCTGTCTGTGTCTTCATATCTCTTTCTTTCTCCCCCCGCTCAGACCCAGGGCAGCGGCCATTTGGACGCTGTCTGTGTCTTCATATCTCTTTCTTTCTCCCCCCGCTCAGACCCAGGGCAGCGGCCATTTGGACGCTGTCTGTGTCTTCATATCTCTTTCTTTCTCCCCCCTCTCAGACTCAAGGCAGCGGGCATTTAGACCCAGTAATCGCCACCGCCATCATCTCCCTCTTTTCCAAATAAGGCCATCTTGGGACGCTGTGAGAAGTTTCTCTCTCAACCCCCCACCCCTCCTTCCCTCTCCCTTTCCCTCTCCCCCCAGACTCAGGGCAGCGGGCATTTAGACCCTGTGATTGCCAGTGCCATCATCTCCCTCTTCTCCAAACAAGGCCGGCTTGGGGACGCTGTGAGAATCTTTCGGGCTGCCCGGGGCATGGGCAGCCGGCAGATCCAGCCGGGCAGCATCGGCGAAAATAGTGTGAGCAGCTGGAGTAGGAACAACAGTATCTGGAGCAGAAGCGCCAGCAGCGGTAGCAGCAGCAGTGGCAGTAGCAGCGACAGCGAGAGCAGCAGCAGTGGCACCGGCGACAGAAGGATTTCGCCAGGAGCAGAAGAAGAGTCGGAAGAATCAGCAGGAGCAGACGTGGGAACAGAAGGAGTAGCAGCAGCAGCGGCGGCTGCATCAGCAGCAGAAGCAGCATCAGAAGCACCAGCAGCACCAGGATCAGCAGCAGCATGGACAGCAGTAGCAGCAGGAGCAGCGGCAGGGGCAGCAGGGGCCAGTTCCCCCAAGAGGCGGCACAGGGGGAGGGGGAGGGGGAGGAGGCGAGGGGGGCGAGTGGATGCAGTGCTGCTGAGCACGATGATGGACGCTTACAGCAAGGCAGGGCAACTGGACGCCGCTGAATCTCTGTTCGCTGAGATCCTGGTAAGTGGATGGGTGGGTATGGTTGGGTGGGAGGTGGGTACGGGCACTGCACCTCGTTCTGAGTGGATTCGGTGCTGCTGAGCATGATGATGGACGCTTACAGCAAAGCAGGGCAGCTGGACGCCGCGGAAGCGCTCTTTGCTGAGATCCTGGTGAGTGGTTGGGTGGGTATGGTTGGGAGGGAGTGGTTGGGTGGGTATGGTTGGGAGGGAGTGGTTGGGTGGGTATGGTTGGGAGGGAGTAGTTGGGTGGGTATGGTTGGGAGGGAGTGGTTGGGTGGGTATGGTTTGTGAGAAACTGAAGTGCTGGTTTGATTAGAAAGATTGTGGGTACATATAGGAGATGAAAAGTATGGGGAACTAGGTTGGGTACCCGCGACATTATTGGTGAGCCAATGGGAGTGGCCACCAATAATGTTTTGGAGGTGACCGCCAATTATTGGGGGGGGGGGGGCAATAATGGTTGGAACGAACCAACCAATGTTGGTTCCCCCCGCCAATTGCGGCTGAGTGGGGCTGGGGTGCACCCAACCAAAACTGGTTGGGTCGCCTTGGCCCAAAGTGTACACCCATGTTTGGGTGTTACACTTGCACATTTACAACCCAACTGATGCTATAATCTAACATGGTTGGGAGGGAGTGGTTGGGTGGGTATGGTTGGGAGGGAGTGGTTGGGAGGGAGTGGTTGGGAGGGAGTGGTTGGGAGGGAGTGGTTGGGAGGGAGTGGTTGGGAGGGAGTGGGTGGATACAGGTGGGTGGGTACAGTGCGAGTGAGGAAGGTACGGACATACCACCTCGTTCTGAGTGCGAGTGAGGAAGGTACGGACATACCACCTCGTTCTGAGTGGATGCAGTGCTACTGTTGGACGCTTATAGCAAGGCAGTTGGATGCTGCTGGAGCGCTCTTTGCTGAGATCCTGGTGAGTCGTGGGTGGTGGGAGGGTATGGTGTAGCACCTCGTTCTGAGTAAATCAAGTACATGCGGTGCTGCTGGTGCTGGTGCTGCTGAGCTCGATGATGGATGCTTATAGCAAGGCAGGCCAGTTGGATGCTGCTGGAGCGCTCTTTGCTGAGATCCTGGTGAGTCGTGGGTGGTGGGAGGGTATGGTGTAGCACCTCGTTCTGAGTAAATCAAGTACATGCGGTGCTGCTGGTGCTGGTGCTGCTGAGCTCGATGATGGATGCTTATAGCAAGGCAGGCCAGTTGGATGCTGCTGGAGCGCTCTTTGCTGAGATCCTGGTGAGTCGTGGGTGGTGGGAGGGTATGGTGTAGCACCTCGTTCTGAGTAAATCAAGTACATGCGGTGCTGCTGGTGCTGGTGCTGCTGAGCTCGATGATGGATGCTTATAGCAAGGCAGGCCAGTTGGATGCTGCTGGAGCGCTCTTTGCTGAGATCCTGGTGAGTCGTGGGTGGTGGGAGGGTATGGTGTAGCACCTCGTTCTGAGTAAATCAAGTACATGCGGTGCTGCTGGTGCTGGTGCTGCTGAGCTCGATGATGGATGCTTATAGCAAGGCAGGCCAGTTGGATGCTGCTGGAGCGCTCTTTGCTGAGATCCTGGTGAGTAGTGGGTGCGTGTTTTGAGTCGACTCAAAACTCGACTCACTACACGCTGGAGCACTGTTCGGTGAGATCCTGGTGAGTGGGTGCGGTAAACTTACCTCTCCCTCTTCCGGTATCACTCGTCCATTTACCACTCACCACACACATTCCCCCAGGCGGATGAGTCGGGCAGTATAGCGGACTTGGCTGCACACACCACAATGATCAGCGTGTATGGAACCTTTACCCCGTCCGTCCAACGCTTGTCCCCGTCCACTTTTGAGGCGCCTCAAAAACCGTCCAACGCTTGTCCCCGTCCACTTTTGAGGCGCCTCAAAAACCGTCCAACGCTTGTCCCCGTCCATTTCGTTTCTTTTCTTCTCCGTCCTTCCCCCACCCAACGCTTGTCCCCGCCTTCCATTTTCCATAATCCAGGCGGATGAGTCAGGGAGCATAGCGGACCTGGCAGCACACACCACGATGATCAGCGTGTACGGGAAGCACAGAGGGCTTGCTTTAGGTTGCAACTTTCACCCCATTCTTCCCCCACTCAACTCGTCTCCCCGTCTTCCATCCCCCTTCTCCAGGCGGATGAGTGGGGCAGTTTAGCAGACCTGGCAGCACACACCACGATGATCAGCGTGTATGGGAAGCACAGGGAGTAAAGCGTCTATAACTCTACTCTCCCCTCCCCCTCTCCGCTCCCCCTCTCCCTCCCCCCTCTCCCCAACCCCCATACACACGTCCCTCCAGGCGGATGAGTGGGGCAGCATAGCGGACCTGGCAGCACACACCACCATGATCAGTGTGTATGGGAAGCACTGGGTGTCACAGTGCATGGCTTACCTCTCCCTTTTTTCCCACTTATCACTGGTCCCTTCCCTTCACCACACGCGCCCCTCCAGGCGGATGAGTCAGGGAGAATAACAGACCTGGCAGCACACACCACCATGATCAGCGTGTATGGGAAACACAGTGGGTTGCCGCCTATAATCCTGCTTTCTCGCTCTCTCTCCTCCCACTCCCCCCTTCCTCCTCCCCCCCTTCTCCTCCAGGCGGACGAGTCAGGCAGCATAGCGGACCTGGCAGCACACACCACCATGATCAGCGTGTAACGCATCTCTCCCCCTTCTCCCACCCACCACTTGTTCCCCCCCACCACGCACGCACGCCCTTCCAGGCGGACGAGTCGGGCAGCATAGCGGACCTGGCAGCACACACCACCATGATCAGTGTGTATGGCAAGCATGGGCTGGTGGAGAAGGCGAAGGTGCGTGATGGATAGGAGGGAGATGTGTGGGCTGGCTGTGCATGTGAAGAGAGGACTAGCATCAGAGCACGCACCACGATGGTCAGCGTGTATGGGAAGCATGGGCTGGTGGATAAGGCGAAGGTGAGAGTGAGGGGGGAAGGGGGGAAAGGGGGGAAAGGGAGAGAGGAGGGGGATGTGTGCAAAGCGAAGAAGGGAGATGTGTGTGCTGCTGGCTGTGCATGTGAAGAGAGGACTAGCATCAGAGCACACACCACGATGGTCAGCGTGTATGGGAAGCATGGGCTGGTGGATAAGGCAAAGGTGAGAGTGAGGGTGAAGAGGGGGGAGAGGACCGAGAAGGAGATACATGTTGGGGTTGATTTTTGAGTCGACTCAAAAATCGACTCATGCCACGAGAGGGGTAGGGAGGGATAAAGGCCGTACCAGGTTATTTTTGAGACGTCTCAAAAATAACCTCTCTACAAAAGCCGTACCAGGTTATTTTTGAGACGTCTCAAAAATAACCTCTCTACAAAGGCCGTACCAGGTTGAGCACCGAGTTGGCGATGACTGCTTTTTGAGTCGACTCAAAAATCGACTCATCACAGAGTGGGAAGAGGACTGAGAGGGGGACTGAGAGTACATGTTGGGGTTAATTGTGAAGAGATGGTTAAGCACACCCCACGAGGATCAGCGTTTCTGGGAAGAATGGGCTGGCGGATAAGGCAAAAGTGGGTGAGGGAGAAGGAGGGAAACAGGGAGAAGAGGGGGAAGACGGGGAAGAGGAGGACAGGGCCGAAAAGGGGAAGATGGGGATGTGCTGTGAATGATTGGGGGGCAAGTTAATTCCATTGTCTTCACTTGTTCTTCCCTCTTTGGCAGTAGCCTGGAGGCTGGAGCTACACATTATCTCCGTGCTCTCTCCCTCCATTCCTGAGTCGACTCAAAAATCGATTTCCGTTATCTCCTCTTGGCAGTGATATGGAACGCCATGCTGAGCGCCCTGGGGAAGAATGGGCGGGTGGGAAAGAGCCACACACACATGATCCCTTCCTCTCTTCCTCCGTTCCCTGCCTCTTCTTCCCCTCCTGTGCAGCTGCTGTTTACAAGCCTGAGGGGGGCGGGCAGGGACTTGGACGCAGTGATATGGAACGCCATGCTGAGTTCCCTGGGGAAGAATGGGCGGGTGGAGGAGGCGAAGGAGCTGTTTGCGGAGATGCAGGAGTGTGGACCGACGCCCACCGTCTACTCCTACTCTATTATGATCGACGCGTGAGTTCATGTGTCAGTGGGTGTGTAGGGAGACTGAAAGTGCAAGGGAGGGAGGGAGGGACTCGGGTGGAGGGAGGGAGGGATTGAAAGTGCATCAACTCGGGTGGAGGGAGATTCAAAATGCAAGGGAGGGAGGGAAGAATGGGCGGGTGGAGGAGGCGAAGGAGCTGTTTGCGGAGATGCAGGAGTGTGGACCGACGCCCACCGTCTACTCCTACTCTATTATGATTGACGCGTGAGTGGGTGTGAGTGGGTGTGGAGGGAAGGAGAATGAGAGTGCAAGGGAGTGACAGTTGGGGAGGAGGCGAAGGAGCTGTTTGCGGAGATGCAGGAGTGCGGGCCGTCGCCCACCGTCTACTCCTACTCTATTATGATCGACGCGTGAGTTCATGTGTCAGTGGGTGTGAAGGGGGGATGAGAGTGCAAGGGAGTGATGGTGGAGGAGGCGAAGGTGCTGCTTGTGGAGATGCAGGAGTTTGGTCCGTCCGGCGCCTACTGTTTCCCATCTTGACTTTTGAGTCGACTCAAAAGGAGTTTGGTCCGTCCGGCGCCTACTGTTTCCCATCTTGACTTTTGAGTCGACTCAAAAGGAGTTTGGTCCGTCCGGCGCCTACTGTTTCCCATCTTGACTTTTGAGTCGACTCAAAAGGAGTTTGGTCCGTCCGGCGCCTACTGTTTCCCATCTTGACTTTTGAGTCGACTCAAAAGGAGTTTGGTCCGTCCGGCGCCTACTGTTTCCCATCTTTCAGTTATGGGAAGGCCGAGCGCATTCTCGACGCCTCAACCACCTTTGCCTTGTTCCGCAGGATGAGGGCAGAGGGGGTGCCGCCTAGCCCAGCCACAGGAAAATCTGAGCTGTACCTCTTGCCCCTTGTTCTCTCGTCTCCTGTTTCCCATCTTTCAGTCATGGGAAGGCCGAGCGCATTCTTGACGCGTCAACCACCTTTGCCCGAATGCTCTCCTGTGGCCTGCGCCCCTCTCTAGTGACGTTCAACTCCATGCTCGCTGCCTACTGCCGTGCCGGCATGGTCAACGACGCTGCTGCTCATCGCTCTCCTCCCCTGCCCCCTGCCCCCTGCCCCCTGCTCCCTGCTCCCTGCTCCCTGCTCCCTTGTCCCTACCTTCTCCTGTCTTGTGTGTTTCTCCTGTCCCCTGTTCGCCCCGCCAATCAGTTATGGAAAAGCCGATCGGATCCTGGACGCGTCAACCACGTTTGCGAAAATGCTCTCCTGTGGCCTCCGCCCCTCTCTAGTGACGTTCAACTCCATGCTCGCTGCCTACCGCCGTGCCGGCATGGTCAACGACGCTGCCGCGCTCTTCCGCAGGATGCGGGCAGAGGGGGTGCCGCCCAGCCACGTGTCGTATGCGATCCTCATCCACACACACGCTCAGGCCGGGGATTTGAGAGAGGCGACGCGACTGTTCAGGTAAGCTTGTTTCTTCATGGGCAAGGGGCACGGGGCAAGGGGCACGGGGCATGGGGCACGGGGCATGGGGCACGGGGCATGGGGCAAGGGGCACGGGGCATGGGGCATGGGGCATGGGGCATGGGGCATGGGGCATGGGGCATGGGGCACGGGGCATGGGGCATGGGGCATGGGGCATGGGGCATGGGGCATCGGGCATCGGGCATGGGGCACGGGGCATGGGGCATGGGGCATGGGGCATGGGGCATGGGGCATGGGGCATGGGGCAAGGGGCACGGGGCAAGGGGCACGGGGCATGGGGCATGGGGCATGGGGCATGGGGCATGGGGCATGGGGCATGGGGCATGGGGTGAAGGAAGCTGCAGTGCTGTTCCGCAGGATGAGAGCAGAGCGGTGCCGCCGAGCCACTTGCCGTATGCGATTCTCATTTACACACGCGCGCACAGGCTGGGGATCTCAGAGAGGCCACTCGGCTCTTCTGGTGAGTTTGGAGCATGGGGGATGGGGCACGGGGCATGGGGTGTTGTGGTTGGTGCTGTTTTCAAGAATTAGAGCAGAGCGGTGCCACCCAGCCACTTGTCGTCGTATGCGATTCTCATTTACACACTCGCGCACAGGCTGGGGATCTCAGAGAGGCCACTCGGCTCTTCTGGTGAGCTTGCTTGTTGTGGGTGGGTTGGTGGTGCTGGGGCAGTTGGGCACCTGGCATGGGTCGTGTCGTATGCGATTCTCATTTACACACACGCACAGGCTGGGGATCTCAGAGAGGCCACTCGGCTCTTCTGGTGAGTGAGTGCGATTGACTCGGCTCTGCTTGTCGGTGCGTGGTTCAAGTGTCCCACTGTTTGCTTCCAATGTGCTTCTTGACTCGGTGCAAAGAGGTATTTTTCTCTTCCTCACCACCCCCACACCCACCCCCACCACTCCCCCTCCCCGTCCTTGCACCCTCCCTGTTTTCCCGTCCTTTTCTCTCTCTCCTCCACCCTTCCCCTCTCCACTCCCTCCTCAACCTCCACGCGTTTCCCTCCGCTGGCCCTCTCCCTTGTGCGCCCTTCACTCCCCCTGCCCTCCTTCCCCTCATGCCACCCCAGAGAGCTGCAGGACAGTGGATGTGCCGTGGATAACCCAACACTGCACCGGATCACCTCAATGCTCAGAAGTGCCGGCAGAAGCCACTCCAGCATGCTCTAGGTGTTCGAGCATCGGTATCCTGGTTTGAGAACTGAGATGTTTCTGTTTGGGTTCCGGACAAGACGGTTTGAGAATTGAGATGTTTCTGTTTGGGTTCCACACAAGACTCACCTTACCTACAGACAGTCCAGTCCATGACCCCACGCTCCACCGAATCGCCTCCATGCTCAGAACGGCTGGCTGGCAGGAAGGAACCACTGGCGTTTAGGAAGTTAGAACCGTACATGCCGCATTGCCGTAGTGTTGTTTGTGGTGTCTATGTACGAAGCACACGAGAGGACGGAAGCAACTGGCACAATTGAGCCGATACTTTGAGCAGATTTTGAAGTAGCAGAGCAGATTGTACGGTACGGTATCAGGAATTAGGATTAGGGGACTCTTGCTAATGTTTATTGGCGGAGGAGAAAAGGCAAAGAATCATCTGACATGTGATGTACGGTACCGGTACCTTTCTCACTGCTTGTCAAAGCCTGACTGCAGATGATTGTGCTGGGTTGGGTTGGGTGTATGGCACAGTTCATTCAGCTTTCCATTATTATAGTACTAGTATCCAAGCATGCTTCTTTCTATTGTGGAGATCCAGGGCATTGCATTGCATGGTACCTATCCGCATCATGTACCGGTAGGCATTGTGGTAGGAAGTGTGCTGCTTGACCAGATTTCCTGGGCCAACTAACTAAGGGCTGCTGCATGCAGCAATGAATAAATATGGAGGAGAGAGTGAGAGGTTGTGGGTGGGGATAGGGAAACCCATCCTGGCATTCATCAACAAGGTCCCTCATTGTTCTTGAACCAATACAGCAGTAGAGCATGTCATGTCAAGAGAGGAAGGCCCCTCAATATAGTATTATGGTACCAGTACAATGCGTTCTACCGGTATGTTAGTCCATTCATCCGGCTGCCCAAGCACGCAGCAGTGCAGGCAATTTCTTTTGAAATGACTCTCAAAAGTCACCCGGGACCAGACAGCGAGTAAAAGCAGGTCCTTTCAGCATATGATACAGCAGCCTAATCGACTCATCTGGAGGACCCGGAAGGCAGTAGTGCAGGCAGGCAATTCCTTTTGGGATGACGACTCCCGAAAGTCAACCCAGAATGAGAGCGAGTCAAAGCAGGTCCTTCAGCATACCGGTATGATACAGCAATCTAATCCATTCATCCGGCGGCCCATGCGGGCAGTAGTGCAGGTAATCCCTAGGCTAGGCGGCTGTTTTACCGTAGCTGATTTAGCACCAGAGCTGGTCAAAGCAGGTCCTTGAGCATGTGATACAGCAGTCTAAGCCATTCATCCAGCGGACCAGGCAGGCAGTAGTGCAGGCAATCCCCTATGATGCGGCTCTCAATATCAGACCAGGTCAAAGCAGGTCCTTCAGCATATGATACAGCAGTCTCACCCATTCATCCGGCGGACCAGGCAGGCAGTAGTGCAGGCAATCCCTAGGCGGCTCCAGATGTCCATCCGGTCTCAGCACCGTCATCGGGTCTACATCCAGAAATATCCCTCCAATTCCCTCCACAAGCCGCTTCGCCACAGCGTTTTGACCAGCAAAATCACCCCAATGAAAGGGGAGTTTCATCGGGTTTTGCCGCTTTCTAAGAGGCGATTTCAGCCAGTCGCAATGAGCATGTCCCGGTGGAGTGCTGCGGTATATAATCAGCAGATTAGGAGCAGCTTCTCGCACTTTACTAAGAGTTTCGTTTAACTGAGGGATAAACTGACTATCTTCTCTACAGTGCGCCCCGCGGTTGAGTAAAAGAATGGATGTTCCTGTACCAGGCTGAATCTGGTTGAACCAGGGTATGGAGATCTGCCCGGGAAAAATAACTACAGGATCAGCTGCTGTGCTAAGGACGTCATCTCTTATATACACGACGGATGCATTTCCCGCCTTTAATTCGTTACACGTCGCCAGCGCTGGCCGCGCTGCCAGCTCAGCAAAATCGGTCCTCTCCTTGCAAAATCCAGGGACCACATCCTGGACGAGAATCTTCTCAGAACCTTCCATGTCTGCTGCTGCTGCTGCTGCTGCTGCTGCCGCTGATGCTGCTGGTGCTGCTGTCTTTGGCGCGGATACGTTCTGCATCAGGTGGTTCCTCAGGGAAAAGAACAGCATCCCACTTATAGAGTCACCCACTATAAGCATCCTCCTCCCGTTAAGCAACTCCGCTATCTCACCGCTTCCCACCTCGTCCCACCGCCCACACTCCCTATGTGGTAACCATCGGTACTTCACTGCTTGTCTCACCCGCCAATCCCCTGCCGGCCTCCCCTGCAGCACCACCTTATCAGCTTCTCCCCATGCCACGCGTGCACCACCGCCAACTGACGTGGTGGACGCATTCACGGTCCATGCCACGTCACACTGCCAGCCGCCCCAGCCACTGC